TCTCTCTCTATCTCTCTCTCTCTCTCTAGCCCTCACTCCCTTCCAACCTCCCTCCCTCCCTCCCTCTTTCTCTCTCTAACCCTCTATATTTCTCTCTCTTCCTCTCCCTCTCCCTTCTCTCCCCGCAGCAGTAATCAACATGGTTTCTTGCAGGAATCGTGGCTGTTCTCTTCTGTGGCATCACACAGGCTCACTACACGTACAACAACCTATCCGTGGAGTCGCGGGGGAGGACGAAGCAGGTATGCCCCCAAATACACATCTGTTGCTCAGTAGTCGGTGCGTGCCCCTGCGAGATATTTACCTTAGGTCTGTTTGCGAGCCAAGGAATGGTCGTTGTCTGCCCTAATCTGGTTTTGTATGTTGTTAGGGTTATTGTTATTAATTATTGGTTTGTCGTGCTACAGACACGTATACTTTACTTCAGACACATCCCCACAGGGGAGACATGCACTTTCCATAGTTCTGTGTTCGTTAATACAGAGTGATCTTTTTTCTATTTATGTCTGATTTGTATGTCATAAGGGATGGGCTATGAACATGATATAACATATTAATTTGGTAAAAATTGTAAAAGAGTACTAGCAGCAGCAGTAGCAATAGCAGCAATAGTATAACATAGTAAATGTAATAAATATAACAGTAGTATATTATTAGAAGTAAATATAAACAAATTTGGGTTTTTATTCACTCTTGATATCATTGTGAACGTGATAAGCACAGTGTTAGCAGTAGCATGACTCAGTAAAATCTATCGATGAGCTGTTAAAATGTTTCTGACGAGATCTACATTTGTTGCAGTTGTTTGAGCTTCTCAACTTCCTCTCGGAGAATTTCATCTTCAGCTACATCGGCGTGTCTGTTTTCACGTTCAGTAACCATCACTGGGAGGTCGGCTTCATCATGCTAGCAATAGTATCCTTGTTGGGCGAGCGAGAGAGAGAGAGAGAGAAAGATAGATAGATAGATGGAGCGTGACAGGAGGAGAGGGAAAGAGACAGAAAGAGTGGGATGCAAGGGTGAGGAGGATGGGAGGGAGAGAGGGAGAGGGAAAGGGAGAGATAGACATAAAGAGTGGGATGCAAGGGTGAGGAGGAATATAATATACTATTATTATTATATTATTATATATATATAATTATATTGGATATAATATATATATATATATATTATAGAAGCATAATGAGAAAAACTTGTGCAAAGAATATGCAATGTGCTTAGATATGCAAAATCACATTGTGCCTTTCAAACATTTCTATGCATCTAGACACTGTTAAAAATCTAGTCGCCATACTAGCCATAAAAATATGCTAGTTCTCAAACCCAGAAACATTTTAGAAGTTGGTATCTTAAAAACGCTGATCAGAAATAATAGCATGCCATACAGAGAATATTTTTTCGATAATTATTCCTTGCAAAATATTTGAGCACGCGGGCATAAAACCACACATTGTGTAGATCACAGCAACTACGTTAACAGGTTAACAGCAGGTTACAGCAACTGGTGTTAGCGCGTTCTGCACTGTGAGTTTCTTTAAGCTGGAAGTTGGAACGTATGTGCATTCTGCATGTAACGTTTATGTAGACTAGAAGCTATGTTATAGGGCACAATTAGACTGCTACGAAAATTCCACAGCAAGAGAGATATTAATTTGCATCAGGCAGGGAGATTATTAAGCTTTAGAATATCCATACATGAGTAAATCTTTGAGTGAGCACATCAGATTTAATGATGTTGAAAATAATTTTATTTCAAGATAAATCCAAGTAATATATCAACCTGTTAATGAAAGTTACAATAACCTGTCTAGAATGTCTTTGGTCAACCTAAACCTACACTGCTATCTGGTGTGGCAAGCTCAAAGAATTGGCATTTAGCTTGAACAAAGACAGGTAGATCAGTTGTTTGAAATTGTTGTTAACTGGTCAATATACTTGGAAGTTATCAGAGAGAGAGAG